TGCTTCCTTTGTTCAAATCCGCCTGGAGGCTCATGTTCCACAGAAAGACATTTTTTAATGTGATTAGGCATATTTAACATAAATTAGACAGCTCCTCTCACCCAATCCCTCCTTCCAGCTATCCAAGGTCCTTGGGGAACTTCCTAAGCTGGAACTGAGTGATTCCAGAGTCCTGCATCTTTCTCCAATTCCTCCTCCAGAAATAAAGAAAAGAGCCCATCTGTTTTTCCAGTTAACAGCGGTTCTTCTGGAGACTTTGAGGAGCTGGTAACTTTTCTGCAGATCCTCCTCGGAAGAGGAGGCAACCCAGCACACTGAGGCAGCTCCTAGTCTGTGACAATCCCTAGATGCTCTCACGATGCAAATACTGTGCCTCAACATAAAATACTTCTGAAGTTCATCAAGACAGAAAAAAATCACGTGTTCAGAACCAATTCTGCCCTGATAGACTACAGCAAACATGAAGAGCTGCCAGCTGGGACAAGGCACCAGACTTTCCCTAACTTCTCAGTACCACTCGTTTCCAGCCTCTTCCCATCCAAAACCTCACCTCCCTTCAACCTAAATAATATCATGTATTTTCAGAGAAAAAGCTGACATGTTGTTCTTAGTTCTGTCACACGACTTCACAGAAAATCCACGCTTTGTTCTACAAGTCTCCAGCAACATCAGGAGGCCTGTGGTGGGTATCTTTTGAGAAATGCTCATTTGCCAAATTTCAAAGATCATTTAGCATCTTTACAACGAAGAAAGCTGTCAAACTATGCAGCCACAGCCATTCTCAGTCACCACTCTCAGCTTTTAAACACGCACTTATTTGAACATGAACTGGTGAATTGCAAAACCGTACTGCTCAACGACAGGCTGGGTTTTGCAAAGCTCCAGTGATGTGTTTAAATCAGCTGGTGTATGAAAACGTCTCTACAGAGGTGAAAAGCGAGGGACTGGGATGTTAGAAAAGCACCCAAGGAGAGAGCGATCCCACCACGTACCGCGCGTTGCCATCGTAGCCTGCAAAGATCCACAGCTTGTCACTATACACTGTTGCGCCGTGAGCTGACCTGGCAACTGGCAACCTGCAATTCGGAAAATTAAGGACAAAAATTCTTAAATCACCTGCAGAGGTGCCGTAAGAAGGATCTGCCAAAACGCACATGTAGGAAGAACAAAGCCTCCTACACAAAATGGCTTCAAGCCAAGAAATTGCTTGTCAAACCTCCTCAAAACACAAAATAATTCGATTTCTCTTCCCCAATCTTTGTTGCTTTTACTAAATCAGCCAAGAAGTGCTGAACAAAACCGTGACGCCGCAAGGCCAGCAGGTGCAACGCCAGCTTGCCTGAGGTCACTGGTGCAGAAAGCACACTTGTAACTGCGGGGAGAGACAAGGACGTCTGAGTTCGTAAAACCAGAATTATTCTCAAGAAATGCCCAAAGTTGTCAGAATAACCAGAAATTACTAACACGGTCTATGTTCTAAAACATAACATGCTCATCAGAGGTGAGCAACAGTAACTCAAGAACGGATTGTGCACTCCTCGTCCCTTTCTACAAATCACAATCACAGATGTTCCCTTCCCTCTCCCCAGTAAAATCAGCATTTCAGGAACTTCAAACACGTCATGAACTGCAGGTAAGGACACAGTATGTCCCACCCGCGGGGGCGGTGAACACAAAGCAGTCAGGTCAAAATCAGTGTCACGGACAACATCCTGAGCGTGCACAAAGTCAGGTTTAAGAACTAATGTGTAACTGGTTTTGATTTTTGCCTTGGAAAGCTGAATCTCAGGAACCTGTGTTCAACAGATCCAAACATGTATCATCAACCCATTTGTCTGCTTCTGAATTTACTGGTGTGAACACACATCACCTTACGGCGCTTCAAACAAGTGCGTGCATTCCAGAGTGCTCCAAGGAAGCCCAACTTTGATCAGAAAAGAATGTGTAGATTTAACTACAAATAAGCTTCAAATTGGTTTCTGATAAAACAAATTGAAACTATGAGGAATCAACAAATTTCACGCTATCCTTGAAAAAGAAACAATTCAAAAGAAAAAATTTCCTTTGCTCCCATCCCTTCTGTCACAGAAATGAAACGTGAAGAATGGATTTTGGTCAAATATAGCACACTCTGGAAAGGAGGCCTCGCAGAAAACCTCCTTCAGAACAAAAGGTAGTTTTCAGAAAACTGTAATCAAGAAAGTAGAGTAGAAATTGTCCTGCAGCCTTAACGTCAGCACTGTAACTAATTCTAACAGTGCCATTTTAAATGTCTGCTGAGTGATGCTCATGTTCCCTAGAAGAGTGGGGTAATGGTGCCAGCTCCTTACCTTCCTTCTGTCTTCCACTCTGTCCATTGTCCAGTTGCAAACTTATATTCAAAGAGATCATTTTTATTCTTCAGGTTGGAATTGGAATAAATATCTCCAGTGTAGCCACCTGGGCAACAACAGTTCCATGAGACTCAAACGCAGTAGAGCACGCACGCTTCTAGTCATTATATTAGAAAAAACGTCAGTTTAGATCGCACAGAGAGAAGGTGTTCGGCTAATGGACTACTCCAGCTGGGAGACTCCTCCTCCACTCCTACGCCTAAAGAAACACTATGGTAATGAGTTTCAAGTCTTCTCTACTTTGGACAAAACAGCAAAAGTATTTCCAAGCTGAAGTTGAAATCACAGTCAGCCATGAAAAATACTGGGTTTGCTGCTGAGTAAGATCTGTTGACGCTTCCTAAAAATATCTCATTCCTTCTTCAAAACACCACCACCAGCATATTTATCGTTCCAAGCACGCACAACCGTAATCTGCCGCTGTCTTACCAAACACAAACATGCTGCTCCCGTAGACCACAGCTGAGTGGTGATACCGCGGTGCTGGCGGGGTCCCCGTGGTAAAAGCCCTGCACAACATTTAGAACAGCAGCAATCAAACACCCTTGCCATGCTTCAGGCACTCAGAGCTACTGTGCAGATTCAAAAAAAGAAACAATTGCTAAAAAGTTATTCTTGTTCCTTATGTTCCTGAGCGTTTTCACTAGTTTTGGTTTCTTAATTATACTGTCTCAGATGTTACGACAGACTCAGCACTGCAAGTGTAAAAGGTTACAAACAGGATGCTCCTGAAATCTGTTTGGCAGAGACAGCAGGCGAGGCACAGGTAAGACACCACAGTCTAGAGCAAAGGAGCAAAGCAAAGACATCTGTGAGCCCCCCCTTAGCCCCTTTCCTGCCCTGGGGGGCTGCAGCAGACCAGCCCCTCTGCCCGCGCACCCTTTCAGCACTCAACCACGGCTCCCCGTCCGTCCATCGCTGCGCTGCCCAGCATCCCCCCGCAGGCCAGGGCTGTGCGGGGACACTCACTAACCTCCCTGACACCTCAGCCACACAACGGGCCGGCAAAGGTCCGCTGTGAGAGCACTCGGGTGGGGGGCGATGCTCTGGTAGAGCCTCCAACCCCCACCCCTGGGCCCGAGGTGCTGAGGAA